TTCTTTTTCCGGCCATTAAACCCCAAATTCCGGCGACTGTTTCAGTTGTTCAGTACCAGAAAACACCCTTCCCTCCCTATATTCTGCTTTTCACCTACTGTGACTACTGATTTTTCTATCCTTTGAGGCTTTTTCTGCTAGTGGTGCTACACACAGTGGCATTTCTACACCGAGCTCTAGTGACCTGCGCCCATCTTCGATGGTCGCTGCTTCAGGGGCAGCACCGACTATAGATGGTGTTGTTATTACACGGCCTCCCGCATCTGATGGACCCAACTCCATCGCCTCTTCATCTGCTTCTGGGCTTAGTTGTGTTGAGGATACACTTCAAGCTTCTTCTTTTTCTAGGAAGATTGTTGAGCATGCCCCATCTGATGTTAGTGCCGGACCAGTATTTCTAGTTAAGATGCCACCAAGGGTTCTATGCTCTCCCCCTTCCTGCCACCCTACTGGTATTTTTGGTCATTCCTATAGCAGCGGGGTGCTAATTTTAGAGATTGATATCCGTCAAGGAAAGGGTGAGAACCTTTCGGCACTTAAAGTTCCTATTGCTAACAATGCTATGGTCTTGTATTCCTCCAGTAGGGGCAAGGAAAGGGTATATATAGAAGACGTCTGTTTAATTTCGTCACAGACTGGAGGAGGGGATATGTCTTTCTGGATGGAGGATAAACTATTAAACTTTGAGAAGTTTCTAGGTGTTTCTTTTGAAGGGAAGGAAGATAAGGTGTTGGAACTGTTGAGGGAGATTGAGCAACAATCTTGTTATGATGGTGCAGGGAGAGAGTTGGGTCAAGGTGTTAAGCAAAATAATTTAGGGGATGTAGTAGTGTAACAGAGAAGGGGTCGGGTGTGTGACAGGGAGGAAGGGAGCTCGGTTAGAGGGGGTGGGGAGAAGAGGGATATTGTTTCTTATGGAAGTTAAGATTCTTTCATGGAATGTGAGGGGATGAATGACCCAAACAAAAGGGCCATCATCAAAGTGGGAGTTAGAGAGTGGGGTGCTAACCTAATTTGCTTTCAGGAGACAAAAATGAAAGTTTTGTCGGATGTGATTGTGAGGAGTGTCTGGGGAGGTAATTGGGCAAAATATGACTGGGTTCCAGCAACGGGAAGTGCTAGGGGCATTCTTCTAATATGGGATGATAGAAGCTTGGAAGTAAAGGAGATTAAGAAGGGAGTTTTTTCTTTAACAGCTCTTGTCAAAAATAGAATGAGTGAGGTGGAGTGGGGATTTCGGGGAGTGTACGGACAGGTAGGAGAAGTGTCCAAGGTATTTTTCTGGGAGGAACTGGCCAATATGATGGGGGAATGGGACATTCCATGGGTTCTAGGGGGAGACTTTAACACTATTAGATTCCCGTAGGAGAGATTAAGGTGTAGTATGATTTCAAGGGCCATTGAGGAGTTTTCCGACTTCATCAATGATCATTTTCTCATTGATCTTCCTCTGCCAAGGGAAAGGTTTACTTGGGCCAGGGCAGAGGATTCCAACTCAAGGTCTAGACTTGATAGATTTCTGATATTACCCTCATGGGATGAGCTGGTGCCGAATGTGCTGCAAATTCCTTACCTAGGCTGACTTCAGATCATTTGCCTATCTTGCTTGATGGATGCAGAGGGAGGGGTGCGTGCTCCCTTCTGATTCGAGAACAAGTGGTTGAAAGTGTTAGGATTTGGTGACAAGGTGAAGGATGGTGGACAAGCTACGGGGTATCATTCGAAAAAACTTAAATTGTTCAAGGGAGATATTATTAGGTGGAATAAGGAGGTTTTTCGGGAGGGTAGAGGTTAAATAAGGGAGCTTATGCATGAATTGGGGGATCTACAGAGAGAGGGGAAAGGGCGAGAGAGTTAGATGAATCTGAGAAAGTGAGACCGGGGGAGGTTAAGAGGGAAATAGTCGAGTTAGCAATAGCTCAGGAGACTAGTTGGCGACAAAATTTGAGGGCGCTATGCTTAAAAGAGGGGGATTCGGATACCAATTTTTTTCACAGGGTGGCGGTTGCAAATCGAAGGAGAAATTTCATAGAGTCCTTTTGTGGATGGGGAGAGGATTGAGGGAGATGAGGAGGTAAACGGAGCGATAGTGGGGTTTTATGAGAACTTATACAAAGAAGAAGTTAGTTGGAGGCCGACTTTGGGGGGAACAGAGTTCAACCACATAGGGGAGGGAGACAGTGAGTGGCTAGAAAGGGCTTTCGAGGAGTAGGAGGTGCACAAGGCTGTGTCGAGTTGTGCTGGTGATAAGGCCCCTGGCCCTGATGGTTTCTCCTTGGCCTTCTTCCAGCTCTGTTGGGACACCATCAAAGGGGAGTTGATGGAAGCCATTGAATAGTTCCATGTGAATGGTGTTTTCGAGAAAAGTATCAATGCTTCTTTTATTACTATTGTGCCTAAGAAAGAAGGTGCATCTTGTATCAGTGACTACATGCCTATTAGTCTCGTGGGGAGCATTTACAAGATTATTTCTAAAGTGCTTTCCAACAGACTCAAGAAGGTTTTTGATGTGTCTGTTTCGTCCTCCCAGAATGCGTTTGTGGAAGGTATGCGTTTGTGGAAGGTAGGCAGATCCTTGATGCAGCTTTGATGGCAAATAAACTTGTAGACCCTAGAAGGAAAAATAGAAATCACGGGTTACTATGCAAGTTGGACCTTGAGAAGGCTTTCGACCATGTCAACTGGGAGTTCCTGGATTTCATTATGATGCAGATAAGGTTTGGGGCAAGATGGAGGGGATGGATCAAGTTCTGCATTTCCTTAGTCAGATTCTCTGTCCTGGTTAATGGTAGCTCGTTTGGTTTCTTTGGCAGCTCCAGGGGTCTCAAGCAAGGAGACCCGCTATCCCCCATGCTATACATTCTAGTGATGGATGCTTTAAGTAAAATGATGGATCGTGCGGCGGGCAGAGGCTTCTTGAGAGGATTCTCAGCTTCGATCGGGGTTCCCAGTGCCCGAAGAGTCTCTCATTTGCTTTTTGCGGATGACACCCTAGTTTTCTGTGATCCCGATATGGATCAGTTGACCTACCTGAAGCAGGTCCTGCAGTGGTTTCAGATAGTATTAGTTCTTAAAATCAACCTCGACAATTGTGAAATTTTCCCTATGGGTAAGGTTGCTAACATTGATGCTTTGTCTTATGTTCTCAGATGTAAGATGGGCTCCCTTCCTACTACTTACCCGTGTCTCCCATTGGGCGCTTCGCATAAGGATAGTATAGTTTGGAATCCAGTGATCAAAAGGGTTGAAAAAAGATTAGCAGGCTGACAGAAACGATACTTGTCAAAAGGTGGAAAGGAAGTGCTCATTAAAAGCACTTTATCGAGTATGCCCACCTATTACTTGTACTTGTTGCAAGCTCGTGTGAGCATCACGAAAAAACTAGAGCGGCGTCAAAGGAATTTTCTTTCGGATGCAGCGGATGAAACTATAAAGTATGATCTAGTGAATTGGCAGACAGTCACTTCCCCAAAGAAGTAGGGTGGACTTGGAGTAAAAGATCTTAGGGTATTAAACAAAGTTTTGTTGGGGAAATGGCTGTGGAGATTCGGGGTAGAAGACCATACTCTATGGAGGGAGGTCATAATAGAAAAGTACGATTCCACGGGAGGGAGTTGGAGGACCAAGGCAATCACAACACATTTCAGGTGTGGCATGTGGAGGAGCATCGTTCAGTGGCAACATCTCTCACAGGGTGGGAGATGGAAGGAGAATCAATTTTTGGAATCATAGGTGGTGTGGAGAGGATACTCTGAGGGTCTCCTTCCACACGTCTTCAAAGTTTCAAACCATAAGGAATTGATGATCCAACAGATTCGTAAGGAGCATGAAGGGNTTATTGACACTACTATATAGGCAAGACAGACCCCAACCATCTTGTGATTCTTGGAGATAGGGTTTGCGTGGTGATGGTCTGTTCACCGTAAAGTCCTTATACCAAAGTATGTTGGTGAGAGAGGAGGCCTCTTTTCCATACTCCTCGATCTGGATTCCTAAGGCGCCCACGAAGGTGTGCTTTTTTGCATGGCTAGCGGCGAGGGGAGTGATTTTGACTGCTGAGAATCTGCGAAAAAGAGGAATTACACTTGTTAGTTGGTGCTATATGTGTAAAAGCTTAGGGGAAGATGTTGATCATCTTTTGTTGCATTGCCCTGTGTCCTCGGCTTTGTGGAAGGCGATCATGAACCTTTTTGGTGTTCAATTGGATGATGCCAAGTACTATAAAGGAAATGTTATATAGCTGGGCCGGTTTCCATAGGAAAAGAAAGCAAAAGGCGTGGAAGTTCGCCCCGTTAGCTCTCATGTGGATAGTTTGGGGGGAGAGAAATAGGAGAGCTTTTGAGGGGATTGAGTCTCCTTTTTCACATCTTAAGAATAGTCTTTTATCTTTGATCGCTTTATGGTTCACTCATATAGCCCCTATTTATATAGAAGATTGGGAGTCTTTTGTAGAGAATCGTGTTCTTATGTAAATTCTTTACTTTTTGGTATACTTCTTGTATACGAGAGTTCTCTCCCTTTTGATTAATACAATTTACCTTATTAAAAAAATCTTCCTTGTCATCTCTAGTTGGGTAGTTGTAAGGTTATTATGAAAAAAAAATGTGATATGCCTTTTCATATATAGTGGAAGTTTTCTACTTGTAAGCATGATTGGTCCAACTTCTATTATTTTTGCTAAACAAATATAGTAAAGTGTTTTGTAACCAATTGAACAATTAATTAAGGCGAAATGGCTTCCTGGCCACTTAAATTTGTAGGGCTTTTGAAAGCCGATACACAAACTTTCGTCTTTCCCATTTAAACACTCAAACTCGTGAAACCTATAACTAATAAACACCTTTGACCATTGACTATGCTTATGTGGCCGTAGCTTATCTTACGTGGACATAGTGCGTACAAGCCACATTCAAATGGCGCGTGTATCTGTTATTATTCATTAAAAAGATTGTAAAATAAAAAAACAGAAATTATAAGGAAAACCAAAAAAGAAGAAGAAAATGGTGGCTGGGTTTATTGACTCCGTTTTATTCCGCCGGTTCCTCCAAAAAAGAGAAATCAACCATGCAGCTAGACTGCCAGAATTTTTATCAATTCCTATGGGAGATAAATTGAGAGAAAAATTGAGGTCTATGAATGTTACCGGAAAAAGGACTAGATTTGAAGGTCGAGCTCCATCGGCTTCGACGACGGAGACAACGAATTTTCCAGGGGAGACGATGGGGAGAATTACAGTGAATGATGCTAGGAAAATTTTGAGGTTTTCTTAGTTAGAGAAAGTGAGATTGAGACTTAGAGATATGCCGATGAACTCCATTTCGTACTCTAAATTCGTTGAGATCTGTAGTGAAGTTTGTAGCAACAGAGAACAGGGTTTGGAGTTTGCAAAGATGTTGGACGATTCAGGCAGCGTCATCGTTTTTGGTGACGTCGTTTTGCTCCGTCCCCATCAGGTAAAAGTTGCATAGCTATGGTAAAGAAGAAAAAGTATAAATTAATAAATTTATTCTAGCACATCTATGGGGTTTGTTTCCCTTGACGTGTAACAATCCCATTGGTCATTTGCTGACTGGATGGACACATCTGTGAATATGTAATACACGCACGTAGGGTCAAAGGTCAAATGTGTTTATTAGTTAAGGGTTTCACGAGTTTGAGTGTTCAAATGGGAAAGTCCAAAGTTTGTGTATCGGCTTTCAAAAGCCTTACAAGTTTAAGTGTCAGGAAGCCATTTCGTCATTAATTAATTAACATCTCTACCACCACCTAAGGGTGCTGGATCAAACTAAAAGTTGACAAATGATAAACATTTCACAGGATGGCGAAGTATAAAATGGTATTAAAAGGAACAATATATTTGTTATTGTCTTTTTATGATTACCATTATTATTATTTTGAGTGGATCTACAAACATTAGAGAAAAGCCAATATTATAAATATATTGAGTGGAACAATATTACAACTCTAACATAGTAAAATGATAATTACAAGCACACACAGGGAGAGCCAAAATACAATTTAGCATAATCTCAAAGCAATTAGAAGATTATAGGACCCCATTACTGGAAAAATGTCATAATGTAGTTTCAGTGGGATTGACTTGTATCTGCTTGTAATTATAGTTGTGTATTCTAGCCACCGGAGCACTTGGTGGAAGGTTTGACCATGAGATGGGAAATATTAATGTCATATGCCGTTTCCCGCCCATGCTGATTATTCTTCTCTCTGATGACTGCCTCATCCAACTTCTTCCGAGTACACATCATCACAAGATTCATATCCAGTCCTCTATTGAGGGCCCACATTGCGGACTCATACCCATTGGAACGGCTGCTGGAAGAACCACAACCACAGGTCTCAAATGGAATTTGGGTGAGCAGCTCCATCTACTCTTTTCTTATTAACTTTTAATATGGTAGTTTAGACTCAACCTGCCTCAATTTGTTATAGGTTGATGCTTTATATGTTGCATATCTCTATTTGTTTTTGGTTCAATACAAGAAGGATAAATTTCTCTCCAGATTTGATGTCATCATACTGGTGGTATCTACTTTTTCTACTAGACTAACTTGTGTTCACTTGGCTTTATTTTAGACAAGACAGAAATGAGGTTTAGTGGTTTAGTCAGTACATATAATATCGTGAAAGAGAACATAGTAACAATGCAATCTGACCTCCTATGGACGATTTCTATAAAAAAAAGAATGAAGGATGCATCTTGCAGATGACACAAATGAAGAGCCAAATTTTGCTAGATGAATCGTGGGTGCTGACCTCCATTTTCTGTTCAATTCTTTCCACATAAAGAAGTTTCACAGAGTTTGAAAATTGTTGGGGTTCTTAGTTTTTTTGGGAATACAGTATCTCTCCAGTCCGATTGTGTGCTGGCACACAACAGATTTCTTTGGCATCAAGTGCGTGTATTGCAGTAGTCTTGGGGAAACAAATAACACGGGGTCTTATGAGTAAAGAGTACTTGTGGGGGGTTAACTTTGATTATCAACTTCTGTTTATGTTCTTGATTCATTAAACACATTTGGTCCAGCAGTTCTCTAATCTTTTGTATACATAACTCTTTTACTATTATAATGAAACATGGAGAAGTAAATTTTTTATTTTACGGTGATACACTGACATGTTTACAGTTGGTAAATATGGAAGATTGCAATATAAATGAGAGAAAGGGTTCGCTCGTTCAATTGCTCGTAGAAAGGGATCGTTTGAAAATTGTTCCTAATGGTGTTTAATTCTCGGGAACCAACAAATCAGCATGCTTAAGAGGAACTACCAAATATTTGCTACTTAAAAATTAGAATGACCAGAAGATGGTAGACGATTTCGTTTTAGAAAATGTAACGGTGAAGAATCATATTCGAATCTGATTCCGCGAAAGGTGGAGTGCTAGCTCATGTCTCTCTTTAAGGTGTTATATGTTTATATGCACCAATAACATATATAGTATATCTCTCTGTCTTCGACATGAAAAGGAAAGATAATAAAGGTTAAAAGACACCAAGTGTGTGCGTAAATCAAGCATTTTAACCGAGTGACAAGTTGAAGCGCAAGTACATATCCGACAAACTTTGCTGCTCCTTTGAACCTTGCTACTTTACTATAGTTTTCTAAAATTGAATGAAAATATATCACTTGCACTTGAAACATAACTATGTTTAATATACAAAGACATGTCTATATTTTTGAGTAAACTTTTTTCGATTAAGACCAATACAATTTCTTTTGGAAAACACCAAAGTCCAAATGATATCGAGTAATGAATAATAATCTACTACTTGTGCAATAATAACAGTTGATATCGCGATTCAGTAGAGGAATGGACTATGAAAAAGAAAAAAGGATTATTTTTTCCAACTTTGAAAAGGAAAAAGGATTATTTTTTCCAACTTTCAGTTCCAAGTTAAAAATTCAACTAAAAAATATATAGTGGCATCGCTCGGACTTGAACCGGAGATCTTTAGGGGTCGTTTGGTAGGGTGCATAAGAATAATGCTGAATATGGTGTATTAGTAATGCTTGCATTAGTTATGCTGGTATGTGACGACCCGGCCAGTCGTCTCATGAGTTACCTCTCCATTTTCCCCTTATTTCTGCTTCTTTATGCTCCGTTATCCGTGTTTTATGTGATCAAGTTGATTAGTCTATGTTCGGAGAGGATTTGGTAAGGAATGAGACACTTAGTCTCTTTTAAGAAGGTTTGATTTGGAAAAGTCAACTGGATGTTGACTATTGTGTTAGAAGGCTCTGATGTGAGTTCTGATGGTTCGGTTAGCTTCAGGAGGTGATTTGTGACTTAGGAGTGTGATCGGAATAAGTTTTGGAGGTCTGGAGTAGAATTAGGCTTGAATTGGCGAAGCTAATATTTTGGCGATTTTCGGTTGATAGGCGAGATTTTGATTTGGGGGTCGGAATGAAATTCCGAGAGTTGTAATAGCTGCGCTATGTCATTTGGGATGTGTGTGCAAAATTTCAGGTCATTCAAACATGTTTTGGTTAGGTTTTTGATCGAAAACGTATTTCGGAAGATTTCTAAAAAATTAGGCTTGAATCCGATGTGTTTTGAGTAATTTGATGTTGTTTGAGGTGCTTTGATGATTGGAACAAGTTTGAATAAGGTATTGGGTTATGTTGGTGCTTTTGGTTGAGGTCCCGGGGGCCTCGGGGTGAATTCAGATGGTTAACGGGAAGATTTTGGACTTAAGAGATTTCAGAAGATTGCTGCTTCTGGTATTTCCGCACCTGCGGTTTGGGGACCTGCTTTGACTTATTACTTGAACTCAGTCCTGTTGATATTTATTGTTTTACAAAACTCAGCCACTGTTACTCATATTTGAAACTTAAATGATATTTCTAAATGATGTTTTGGGCTGAGAACTACTGTTTTACTAATACCCGAGGGGCTTGTGATGATTTTCGGACTGAGTGAGGCCGAGGGCCATATGTGAGGATATGCTGAGTGATATGAGGCCGAGGGCCTGATATACTTTTATACGCCACGAGGTGGCTTGAGTGATGTGAGGCCGAGTGCCGAGAGATGATACCACGAGGTGGCTTGATATAGTGCTTGGGTCGTAAGGGGCCCCTCCGGAGTCTGCACACCCACAGTGAGCGCGGGTACCCATCATGATCTGAGAGTGAGCCCGAGGGGCTGATATTATTCTGAGAGATTGCCCGAGGGGCTGGTACTGTTCTGAGAGATTGCCCGAGGGGCAAACCTTTATGTATTCATCTTTCATATTTACTTGGCATTTTACCTGTTATACTGTGGTATTTGTGCCCGAGAGGCGGATGCTCTGTGCTTATCGGCACTAACTATTTTGCATTTATTTGCGTAACTATTGAAAAAGTCATTTTCGAAAGAGGTTTTAAACTGAGCTAAGATGCTTCTAAAGATTTCACAACTTCATTGTTTTTCTCAAAGGTTTTACACTGCTTCTATACAACATGTTGGGTTGCCTTACGTGATTTCTTACTGCTCAGTTGTTATTTACCTTTATTACTCACTGAGTTGGAGTACTCACTTTACTCCCTGCACCTTGTGTGCAGATGTAGGTATTTATACACCCGGTAGTGGGTTTTGGCTAATCGGTGGCAGAGTTATCAGAGTTTAGCAAGGTGGCTGCCAGCGTTCGCAGCACCGTTTTCTCTCCCTTTTTGCTCATCAGTCCTGTTTTTGTATATTTCAGACCTTGTAGTTGTATTTATACTCTAATAGATGCTCGTGAATTGTGACACCCCGGTTAGGGATGTGTCGGGATGGTTTCTACTGTTGTTATCGTTATTTCCGCAAATTATGGTTGTTATATCATGTTTTAGAACTATTTACGGTATTTAACTGTTTAAAAGAGGTGTTCTGTTTTGGTTTGGCTGGCCTTGTCTTCACGAGAGGCGTCGTCACGACCGAGTTCGGGGTTAGGGTCATGACATGGTATTAGTTATGCTGACATATTTCTTATCCATTGTGTGGTTTGATATATTAAAGCATTGCACAATTTCTAATAGAATTGTTTGTTTACAAAAATGCCCTCAAAACCATTCCATCACTCTAACTTTTTAAAAGAAACATATGTTGAGAAATATTTTTATATGAAAAGGTTTTAAAAAATTATTTGATTTGTTTACCTATATTGTAATATGAAACCAAATATTTATTTATAAAAAAGGAAATATGCTAAGTATTTATTTATTTACTAGAGATATAATTTTATTTTTCACTATTTGGATTATTTTATACTTGCATTAATTTATTAAGGAAAAATGCATAAGAACCCCCCTGACCTATACCCGGATTCCCAACTACACATTTTTTCTTTGCGGAAATCCTATTACCCTCTTAAACTTATTTTAAATGGAATTATTTGCACCCTTAACGCTGACGTGACAGAGTGTGTGTATTTCACTTTCCCTTGGGAGAGTGAGAAGCAAGAAAAAATGATTTTCAGATTATTTTTTA